CATGTAGACAATACTACTACCATTAACATCTGCACCTAATATTATAGGCTGGCAATTTTCAGAGCCAGTCTCTACTCAGAACAAAAAATATCAAAACCATAAATGGTTTTCAGATTTTATCACAGAATCATAGAATCATAGAATGGTAAGGATTGGAAGGGACCTTAAAGAACATCTGGTTCCAGCCCCCCTGCCATGAGCAGGGACATCTTCCACCAGACCAGGTTGCTCAGAGCTCCATCCAACCTGGCCTTGAACACTTCCGGGGAGGGTCCCTCTCCATCCTTCCTGTAGGCTCCCTCCAGGTACTGGAAGGCTGCTATAAGGTCACCCCGGAGCCTTGTCTTCTCCAGGCTGAACAGCCCCAACTCCCTCAGCCTGTCCTCACAGGAGAGGTACTCCAGCCCTCTGGTCATCTTCCTGGCCCTCCTCTGGACCTGCTCCAACACATACATGTCCTTCTTATGTTGGGGGCCCCAGAGCTGGATGCAGTACTCCAGGTGGGGTCTCACAAGAGTGGAGAAAATGGGCAGAATCCCCTCCCTCAACCTGCTGGCCACACTTCTCTTGATGCAGCCCAGGATATGGTTGGCCTTCTGGGCTGCAAGTGCACACTGTTGGCTCACGTTGAGCTTCTCATCCACCGGTACCCCCAAGTCCTTCTCCTCAGGGCTGCTCTCGAGCCACTCTCCGCCCAGCCTGTACTTGTGTTTGGGGTTGACCTGACCCATGTGCAGGACCGTGCACTTGGCCTTGTTGAACTTCATGTGGTTCAAGCAGGACCACCTCTCCAGCCTGTCAGGGTCCCTCTGAATGGCATCCCTTCCCTCCAGCTTGTCAACCACACCACACAGCTTGGTGTCGCGTTAGTGTTTTCTAAGAGCAAATAACAACAAGATTAGCTGAAGCAAATACCTGCCTCACTCATCCTTCTGTTTTTCTAGACTTTTCTTCTGATTCTCTGAACTTCCACAAAGCAAGCCAAGTAACTATATTGTTTTTACTGGGTATTTGAAAGAAGAAATGAAACAGTAGTTTCAACCTACTAATTTTTCCTCCCTGTCCTTTCCTTTCAAAAATCTTGCATGTTTACCATTGACTCTGTGAAACAATCAGTTTAGGCTATTATAACCTCTCTTCATATAAAAGCTGCTAGCTCAGGAATTGACTCAGCTGAAAACTGGATTGTTAGGTAATTATTGATGTGAGGCAAAAGGAAAAGGTAAATGGTTCACGAGATCCTAAATTAATATCAAGTCCAAGTCAGATAAAGATTAGCAAACACGCAGCATTTTTAAGTGGCATTTGCCTGTATGTACCAATACACTTTCTAAATTGACGATTCAGTTGAACACTGCACATAGCAAAAATGAAGGAAAGAAACCAGGTGAAATATGAGAGAATATAGGAGTATCTGGGGCAGAAGAAAGTACTGGGACTGGTCTTACCACGACATATGCACCTCAGCCACCTACAGATGTTCAGGTTGCATGTCCTAAAGTCCCAAAGCTACAAAAGTGGCAGAGAGAATAAGAAAGGAAAGAAAAAAGGATTATAAAAATGGAATGGGAGAAGGAAAAAAGCAGGAGAATACATAAATCAAGGCTAGGCAGCCTGACTTTTATTTAAAGTATCAATTTAGAAGGATTCTTTCAGATCAGGCCCAAGATCCATCCAGACTGCTTTAAGTTACATACATTGTGTCCACTAGCAGTTGGCCTTTCATGAGACAAGAGTGAGAAACTGCAAATAAGCGGTACAGAATAACCACGCTTCTCCCTAATCTATTTAGCTTGATGCTGACTTCTGCCCAGAAGCATGATCTTGAAGCACTGATAGCCCTTGAAAATCTCATGTTTAGCTTTTAACCCTGACTCATTACCCAGAGAAATATCCAGTTCCCTTTGAATTCCACATGGCTCTTAGCTTCCATTATATGTTGTAGTAACAAGCACCACATGGTAACTGTTCAATTTACAGAAAAAACATCTTTTAAGTTTGTTATCCTTCCAAAGTTGAAAGGAGGAGATGACTAAGAAGAGGACAGGTTTTAAAAGTAATTGTAGTCCAGGGGCATGCTGTACATTAGCATTCCTCTCCGTACCACTTTATTCTCTCCTTTTGGATGCTGTCTAGTTTTCTGTTACTGACTTCCCTGTTTAGAAGTAGCTCCATCCGTCTTCCCCAAGGGAAGATGAAATCCAGACACAGTCAGCAATTTTCACTTTTTAAAATAAGGTAGGACTAAGATAGGATACCAATAAGATAGGAATAAGATCGGATGCTTTTTATCCCACCAAAATATTTTAAAAGTATGGACTGAATAATATGATACATAGAGATTATACCTAAAATGTTTTGTTAGGATACTTTCAGCATCTGTTCCCAGGTGTTTGTGTGGTATTTGTGTACATGTTTGCCCTCATGTTTATAAGGAATTTTTTACTTTCTTCACTCTTCTGCTTTCCTTTGAAAGGTAAATGGAAGTTTACTGTACTATCCACTAAACTGCTTGCATTAAGTATATTAGGGCCAGGATTTTCTTGGTCTACAGGACTGCATCCCACTATGTGGAGAGAGTCCCAGTTAAATATATTTGGTGGATGGCTGGAGGTGGGGGACTGGGAGGAGAAGAGTAACAGTGGCTGCTTTACAAGATTTGCAGAAAAGTCACTTTTGCCTTACATGGTAAGCCATAAACATAAAACAACAAAAGTTGCTTAAAACTATTCAGAAAGAGAAATTTATCTATATCACATTGCATAATCTGGCCCCATCTTAAAGGGCCAAGGAAAGGGGAAAAGTTGTTTCAAAGACAGATCTGTAAAATCTGGGCTGAAGACTTGATGTAATGTTTGGCACAGCAAGTAGCTCATTCTGCTGTTGTGACTGTACCGCATCTTGCTATTTTAAGTCCATGCAACATCAAAGACACATTTGCAGGTACAGTGTTGGAGAGCCAGCAACTTAAGACACCACAATAATGTCACTTGGTGTGTAGGAGGAGGTTAAAAGGAGGATTAAAAGCAGTCAGGCATGATATATTAAATGAATCCATGACTAACGAGGTGTGACAGCAAAGGGTTTCATTCTTTTCAACAGAATAGATCCCTAAGGCTGGAATTATTACTCCGCTGTGCCTTTATCACCTTGGAATTTTTATGGTTATTTTTGATGAATTCACATTTTTGTAAAGATTTTTTTGACATTAAGCCAATTTTCACTTTTAATTAAATCCATAAACAACCTTAATTCTGCATTAAAAGGTTTATTGTTTCTTACTTTCTATTATTATTACTGCCAGGAAATATTTCAAATACCAAAACATGATGTTAGTTAGCAATTGTAAGTTCTCAAAAGTCCAGTATCTATGCTGTACCTTGTAAACATTATACGTTGCAACCTTTATCCATCTTAAGAATCTGGCTTGACAGACGCCACAATTTTTCTTTTCTTTTTGTGGAGGTTTGGTTTATTTCTCCTTCCATATATCAACGTAACTCATGTGATTCTTATGAAACAGGGATGAAAAAATTAGCAATTTTAAGTCTAGAATTTGCCTGTAGAAAGTCAAGCAAGCAGTAAAAAGGGCCAGATCTAAAGTGTTTGGCACACAGAAGGAATGGAAATTGAGCAAAATGAAAGAGTGAATGAAATGCAGGAAGGAAAATCCCACCTAGTACTGCAATCTGAGAAAATGACAGAGAGGAGATAATACATTATTTCACTTTCAATTACAGTATCGTTACAGTGCAGTTTAATACCTGTATTCAGGTCCATTACGCCAGTTTTAGTTGAGGCATCACACAGAAAGTTCTCAGAATGCAATGTTGTGATTGGCATTTACTTTACATGTTTGTTCAAGACAGTGGCTGAGTGGTTGAGTTGCCCTCCTGGAATAGGCAGGACAGGGCTCACAGACGTCCTTTGGCAGTCCTGCCTGTAGGCAGCCTGCACAGGAGGGAGGGAACCAAAGCACTACTTATTAAGCTGAAAACAGATGCTCAGTTACTTCTTCTCTGACACAGGAGTGGGCACTCGTAAGTTTAAAGGAAATTCCTCAAGAATACTACAGGCCAGTTCCTCAGAGGCTGACACGCAGGTCTCTGCTGCCATGTTCTGCTTCAACAAACCACTGAATCAAAACTTCATCCTCAAATTTGTATAAGGCAGCTTTAAAGACTGCCACTTAGTGCTTCCAATGCTGTACAATGTTTGCTGCTTTCTATGAATGGCTGTGAACTTAGTTTTAAAACTTCTAAACTATAACTTGTTTTGCATGGGGCTGACATCTCAAAGGTTTATCTAAGCCTACATCAGTTAATGCACATTCCCCTTTTATCTGGACCAGTTTCCTTTAAAAAAAAAGCTTAGATTTTTTGTCCTCAACGATCTAATAAATCTGCTGAAACTAGATGAGATGTGATGAAAAATGCTCAGAAAAAAAAAGTCATTCCCTTAGGTCACAACTCAGCTCTTCAAAGATGTGCTTATACATATAAACAACTGTTGACTTATGGACTTGTCATCCACAGGGAACTGGCGTTGTGAAATGTCTTGGTATTTGGAAGTGTCTGGCATATGAAAATACAATTTAGAGCTGAATCTCACATACTGTCCGTCTGCCCTCAAAATCCGTCCTTCCATCTGAGGTTGGCCTTATAAACTGGATTTTGTATTATTACGCATTTACCAAGTGGCAGAACTTTAGAAACAAAAATTTCTCTTTTCAAAAATAATTTTTGATTTGCCTCATTATATATGTTCAGTGATTAACCATCACATCAGAAAATAAAAAGCATTAAAGCAGGCAGTCTCATTAAGTCAAAGATGAAATTATCATTTATATAAGAACCGTATCTATTATTTCCCATTAACAGTTCTTCTAATCAACAGTCTGAAATCAGCACTGGTACTTGAAGATGCATTGAAACATCTAATATTAGAACACTGACGTCTCCACATAAGCTTTACACCAGTCAACATGGTAGAAAATTTACCTTTTTCCTGACTTGTTGATCTCTGGAAGAATGGGCTTTCACATGCTTTCTTAGGGAACTTGGATCTGTGTATCGTTTGGTGCATCCTGGAATCTGACATGCGTAAGGTTTCTAAGTCAAAAAAAAAAAGGATAAAGCAGCTGTTAAATCACGGATTATTTTAATTCAAGATAATCCCTTTTGAGCCTTGGGATGCTGCAAACCACATTACTACACAGAACACATATGTTGTACATTACTATAAGCAGAATGCTCAGTAATTTACTAGAAAGTGAAAGGAGGAAACTAAGGCTAATGAAGACAAACAAAAGGAAAGCTTTCGTTATGGTACCTTTCATCCTTTCATTGTTACTTTTTTTTTTTTGTAATCAATACAATTAATATTGCTAATTATACTCACAATTCTTCCACCCTCAGAGCAATCTTTAACTTAATCAGAAATTACATTCTTTAGTGAATCAGGTAAAGAAACTGCAGTAAAGGCCCAGACAGAATGTTTAGGATTATAGAAGAATCTGCTTCAGAAAAAGAGAACATGAAAAAGTGTTAGTTTACTACATTACAAAGAGAGCAAGCAAAAACCAAAGCAAGCATTGAATACTGAAGTTTCAAAAACATTATACACAAAAATGCACATTTTAATACAAAGTACAAGACAAACTCCTTTAGGTCACATTTTCTAATAACACATGTCATCTTGGAAAGATATCAGCCCTATAGTACCGTTATAATTTTCTTAAAAGAAAGTCCAATAAATTTAACTCACCAAGTAAATACAAATCTCCATAAATATCTTCTTCTGCCTGTTCTAACCTGTCTGTCTTCCCTGAAGACTTGTAGGTCCACCATAGAGAGTATTAAACGAACCTTAGATCCAACTGTTTGCTGAAATTCGCTATTTCGCAATTGGGTCGTTAACTTTTCACAAAGCATTTCCAAAATCACTTTGTACAAATGATTAACTTACTAGCCATACTGTTGACTATTTAAAATGGATAATTTAAGTTTTGTGAAAGACATTTAATTCAAATGGCATTGTGCTCATTTTCTTTCTGAACTTCTACCCTTAGGCAACTACTTGTTTCTGACAAAACATGATCTTGTTATGAAATAAAAGTCTTTAAACGAATCTCAGCTGACAACAAGCAACAATTTGCTGGCATAAAAATTTTCAGATTTACAAAATTATTCTTCTTCTCTTGACTTTTTGATACATGCCCCAGCCTTAATTTTAACAGAGTTTTTGTCAGAGAATAGCCGTTATTATGGCAGATGGCTTTTGTGTCTTCAGGTTCCCTAAAGGTCACCTAAGTGGGAGAAAGTTGCTGCCTCCACCTACAGAAAAGCCCATGGAGCTGTGGCGTTTTTATCACCTAGCATGGCCCATCTACCTCCATGCTTAGGACTCACTTCTGAAACAGCTCTAACAACCTGATCAGACACTTCTCCCTCCTGTCTCTAAGGTTATGGGCTACTTGCTGCCACCAAGCTGGAGGAAAGGAGCACACACTGTGATGTACAGGGGACTGCAATGGGACTTCTGGTTCCTTACAGTGTCCAAGTGTGTCCTCTGGTGCTTGGCACGGTCGCTGGAGTTGCTGAATGCTTTCTGGCAGCCAGGGTGCTGACAAAGATACGGCTTTTCACCCGTATGGCTCCTTAAGTGAATCTTGAGATTTTCTAGTCTGGAAAAAGCTTTCTTGCAACCCTCAAACTAGAAAAGAGAAAGAAATTATTTGACAGGAAAGCACACACAGAAAACTGCAGCAGCAAAAACTGAGCAGGAGGGTGAAAGGGTTTGCACAGAGCTCCAGCCTGCCACAGCTGGATGCCACTCCAGAGCTGAGGAAAGCCTGGCTTCTCAGTGTGGGTGTTGCTGCATGGTCTGAACCATACAGACCGTAAGAATATATTTAACCTTCCTGCACATGGCTATTTATCGAACACATATAAAATTATACATGTTCCTTTTCCAGTTGAATAAAGGTGGCCTGCCCACCTAAGTAAAGACCAGTAATTATTGTCTTTGGCAGGATACGTAACATGTCATGATCATGAGCCCGATTTTATCCCTACATAGTATCATCACCCCGGGTGTCGATGAAATACCACCACTGTGGTCGCCCCAGACACTACAGTGAGGTCTGGGTCCTGCCTACACTAGGTAAAGTAGACATAAACAGTTTATTTACAATTCATTAGATCATAAGAAAAATTACAATATAATAATTAACTAAAATCTTAAAATAGTCCAAGCTTGACTAGCAAAGATATGTACTGTACCCACTGAGGTAAACAGTGCCCAATTTGACAGGCAACGAGCGACCTTTTCCTGTTGAGAGCTTGAGAGACCCAAATCAGTTAACAATTCGTAATTGCCTTGATATCACTTTCCACGTGCACCAAGCAGGAATCCCAGAAGTTTGATACTCGTGGCATTTGTCAGCTCTTGAGCCTGATCTTTAAGATGTTGATATTTTCTCACTTTCTCTGCTGCTGCATCTGTCAAAGATGTTGATTTACTGTTATATCTCACTATGATGTCTGCTACTAGGGCTTGGTTTCTGTTAACAAATAGCAAGTCCGGTTTGTATAATTCATTTTTTCCATCTTTCAGCAGTGGCTCTTGGAATACCATCCAGTCAATCTCTTTGGCGTCATTCACCAATAATTCACAAAGTTGGTTATGTTTTTTAATCCTGGTGTCTTGCACTGAGGAACAGTACCCAATGACATGGGAACAGGTCTTATTCTTTGCCTGGCGATGCTGACATGATTTAATTTGAGCCTCTTGCCTACCCCTTGCTAAAAATGCTCTTGTAGGGTAGACATTAGGTTTCGACTGTAATGGCTGAATTAGGAAACTATGTCCTGCTCCCATTTTACAAATGGGACATCGAGACTCAAATAGACAAGTCAGCTCAGAGCACAGTACCACTCAGCCTGTCTGGGAAACACAACTTCAACTGACTCTCCCAATAGCACCCAGAAAACAAAATGGTCACTGTGGGGTTCCCAAGCCCTGCACTAGCTACCCTTATCTCAGCTCTGGACTTGTCTGGGTGTTAGCAACTAAGCTGAACACAGGCATCTCTCAGTGCCAACCCAACCTACAGAACAATAACAAAATCATGCAGGCAAATGTCAGTCTGCTCTGCCTTGCTGATGATGATGCAAAAATTAAAATGATTTTGTTGAAATATTTCTTTACCTTTCTGCCATGAGTAAACGTATGAGGTACTAAAGATAATGGAAGCCCATCAAAATAGGATTTAATCCATACAAGCAACCAATAATTGTGTGGCACAGTATTTCTACACCTAATCAAGTACGGCATCTGCAGAGAAACCTGTGTCCATACGAGCAGAAAACCAGTGCTTCATGTATCATGTTCCCTTAGTATACTTTGTTCTCAGGGAAACTAAAACCCATCAGTTCTATTTGATACAAGCATTTTTTTGTACATTTGATTTCAAGTATACTTGAATATTTATGAATATTAGTGAGAAGTATAGGCTTTTTTAATTCTATCAGTTAAGATCAATTAATCCTACTATTTTCCACTGATGTATATTCCACTGTGCAACATCTAAAGCATCTGCTGCGTAACATGCTAGTTCGTAGTTCTTGTATACTTGCAAAAATAATAATGCATTAACAGAGATGTCAAACGTTTCTAATGCTAGCACAAAATTTTCTACCATTTCTCTTCCTATTTATTTTACTCACTTGAAAAGAAATGGGCCATTTTTCACTGATGTTAGAAATTTTACAATATATTATTCAGTGCATGTATGTTTACAAAAGCACAGGTAGGAAAACACTGGCATAATTCTGATCATAATTAGCTTGCCTTTCTTGCAAATCTGGAAGACCCTCAAAAAACAGAAAAAAAAGGATATAAAATTTTCATCACTTAATTTTAAGCACTTCAGTTTTTTGGAATAATGTAAGAGCAAGTTACAGCTTCAAAGAAGAAAGTGTAGGGAGAAACTACAGGAAAAAAAAGTTTCAGCCTGCCCAAACAAACTGAGGCAACTGAATTTCTGTGCAGCACTCCCTAACATCTTCTGTTTGGTTTTAGAAACAGAAGAAAATATAGACTGAATGTTGGCCAGGAAAACACAATATATAGGAGAAAATACACCATACCTACAAAATATCAATATTAAAATTAGGCTTAAGACATCAAAGCTTCAGAAAAGGGATGAACCATCCCCCACTATATCTTAACTGCAATTTTATTTTTCACAGACATTAATTTCAGAAAATTTCTCAACCAGTGAAGCTTTTTATTATATCCCATCCCTTTATTCGAAGCAAACCTACAGTGCTTTTCAGATTACCAATTTTGATCACTAAACACTAATTTATGCTTGTACATATAGTGTTGCCTGTGTGTTTATGAAGGATTAGTACGCAAGCAAATCATTGTTGCAAGCGTAAAAATGTTTTTATTTTTAGGAAGCTATTATTAGAAAATATTCCAGGACAAATTTAAAAAAATGTAGACAGATATATCTTACGTTTGCCTGGATAAAAATAACATAGATTTTTAGGAAAAAGTAAAAAGTGGAGAAAGCATAAAAAACATGAGAGCTAAAAGACTGATAACGCAAATGGCCTTGAAAATGCAAAATAATTCAAGAGCAGCTATGTTACAACAACAAAGGAATGCAGTGATTGATATGCAGAAAAGTTATTATTTCTTATTAAATTAACAGAAGAACAACCATCCTTTCTAATCACAAGAACTAAGCTGTACATAAGTATGCAAGAAATGGTAGTATCTCAGGTACCCTTCCATTTCACAGAGTAAAAATCAGACCGCTGAAAAAGTTCTAAAAGCAGGCCCTCCATTTTGTTTATTTCACAAGATACTAAACTTTGAATCTTCAAGCATGCAAACAAAGTTAAACATGTGTAAATAACTGTTTATGTGATTGCAAAATTAGCATTGAATTTACCTGGGGAAAAAAACATTTAGCTGAGCAGAACTAGAGAATGTTATCTTAAAAACGTTGTGACTTCTGAAGATTCCTGCACTGCTTATCATAACTTGGAACCAGAGAAGATAGTCTAAAGTTCTCTCTCCCCTCCACAGCCCTAAACTATCATGTGTCATATTCACAAGGCTATGTATAGTTGTACATTGTAGAAAAGATCATTCTACCAAAACACAGAAACTACAAGCCTATGTTATCAGAAACACCATCTTTACATAACGGTTAATTAACGTTACTCTAAAAAACAGACTTATTGAAGCCTTGGGAATTTCTGATGCCTCAGACAAAAGGAATGAGAAGATATTCCTTCCAACAACACAGAATACACGTTCTTTCCTGATAACCAGATTTCAGTCACAGTATTCCAGAGAACACGATTACCTATGGAGGAGTAAAGTCAGGCCGATGGTAGTAGTTGTATTTCAAAATGGAACTCTTTGTAGTTTCTAAGTTATTAACTGTGGCAGAAAAGGAGGATATAACACCTTTATTGCAATTAGTTACTTAAGTACATTTCATCCATTTGGCATTGTGAAGCTGTTTGACACTCCTAAACATACTCTTGACTGAACCAAATGTTTTGGAAGTATCATGTGGAATTGTGTCATGGTATCCTAAACTGCAGTACAGAAATCATAGTTACTGAGCTTTTATTTTTACCATTTCATGCAAATTTGAAACCCTTAAGTAGCTCATACTGAAAATTTCCTCTCTGCACTTCCTAAATTTGGGAGTTCTTCTTACAACATATTCATTGGAGTGTCCATATCCATGTTTACTTTAACTTTTTGTAAGGATAATTGTCAAAAGCAAGACACTATATTTACAGTGAAAGGTAAAGCATGTCAATAAAAAGCAAAAGCAGTGCTATGACTTCAGAACACTCGTATTCTCATGAGTGTGCTGTTCATGCTTGCATACACAGAGATAAAGTGCAGTGTACCGGGCAACCACCCTGTATAATTACAGAATCACAGAGTCACAGAATCACAGAATGGTAGGGGTTGGAAGGGACCTCTGAGGGTTATCTAGTCCAACCCTCCTGCTGA